TCCATTTGTTTACTTATCAGTTAGTGCGGATAGTTTTTTATCGTTTTGATTTTAGTTAGAAATTAAAGTCCGTTTAATCAGTCGATGTGCATCAAAAATTAAATTCCGTATAGAATCACTTCTTTGGAATGTTTGCAAGATAGATTGCGCTTATATTTGAAATGTTTGAATCATTAATATAAAAAGAAAACGGAAGTTTTAAGCTTAAAGTTAATCAATGGTATTTTCTCTCATTATTTTTTCAACAGCTAAATGCTATCATTTTTAAATACCAATCAAAAAATTATCACTAATTTTCACTTTCCTTAGGTTTCATATTTATTTATTTCAATTTTAAAATATTTGTATTACTTTCTTCTTCCATTTCTTGTCTTCCACTCATTTCTCATTTAAGCTATCTCTTTGATCTTGTAAACTTTTTTTCCCATAAAATTTTGTTAATAAAATTGGAATTGAAATCAAATCTCCAAAATGATAAAAGAAAAAGATCAAGTATCAAAAATTAAAAATTAAACACTAATTCAGTGAAAATTTCACAAAATATTACATGCATGCATGTATGTGTACGTGTGTGTATCTACGTACGTTTAGGTGTACGTGTGTGTATCTACGTACGTATGGATGTACGTGTGTTTGCGTGTAAGTAAATGTATATTTATTTATATGCTAACATATAAATTGCACTGAATAAATTTTAAAAAAATGGAAATTGCTCGCTGTTTCGAGTCTTTTCGTTTCTTTTTTTTTTAACTTTCTGTCGGTGATGCATTTATCATTGTAAGCAATTGAAGCAATTCGATGATTATCTGAGCTTTTTATTCCTTTCCATTTCTTTCATTCCATCTTCCTTCTTCTTCAGCCAGGAGCGCTTTAAATGACATTAACGCCATTCGACAGACAGTTAGTATTTTCTTCATTAACCTAATATTTCAGCTTTTCAAATTTTTTTAACGTCTTTGAAAAAAAATATTTTTAAATCAAAATTAACTTGAAAATATATTTATGTTGCATTATTACGTTATATTATATTTATATTATTATTATGTTATATTATAATTTCATTGTATTGCATTATATTATAATTATATTATATTTATATTATTATTATATTATAATTTCATTATATTGTATTATATTATAATTATATTATATTTATATTATTATTATATTATAGCGTACTATAATACATTTTTTTTTTCATTTTAGATGAAATAAATGAAAATTTTGCATAAAGTTTAATAATTTGTTGTTCTTTCCTCTTATTTTCTCTAATTTTTTTTTCCTTCAATTTATCATCCATTTTAGCTTCTCATCATTTTACCTTTATATTTCTCATTAATTACATAAAATAACACAAATGTATAGGATAGAAAAAATATTTCTTCTTCCATTAGCCTTCTCTCTCTCTCTCTCTCTTTTTTTTTAAGCTTGCAAAAAATTCCTTTCAACACAAATTGGCTTCCATATTTTCATCCTTTCAATTACTGCCAAATGGCCAATGACACTTTCCTATGTTTCCTCAGTTTACAGTTATAAATAAACATAAAATTTCATTCATTGTCTTTTCCAATTAATTGGAATAAATAATTAATAAAAATAGTCATATGTGTGTGTTTTGTATGTATGTATGTTTTATGCATGAATGTCACATATATTTATAAATACTTTTGATTAATATTCGAATAAGTTGAAACTTTCAGTAATGTTTTTTTGTTCTTACTAAGAACTATTAAATTTTCAAATTGTATCAGTGAATTTAATCAATATATATAGATTTAACTAACTAATAACCACTTCAAAATTAAAATAGATTTTCCTATATTTGAAAAGAATATCATTTTTCGATTCGATTCAATTCCACTCGATTCCTTTTCGTACAATTAAATTATACGTTTCATTTAACATTTCTCCTGTATGCTGCCTTCCCTTCATATTTTTTGATTTATTTGTTTATTTTTTTTTAGCAAATGATATTTAAAAAATGGTTTATTCATTCTACCATTTCAAATTCTTATACTTTAATCTGATTAATGCACTTTTTATAGCTATTCATTAAATTAATAGGTTTTTCACCACTACTATTACTATTATTATTGTTAATTATTATTATTATTATTTATTAGTACTACTATTAATTATTATTATTATTTATTAGTACTACTATTAATTATTATTATCATTATTTATTAGTACTACTATTAATTATTATTATCATTATTTATTAGTACTACTATTAATTATTATTATCATATTATTATACTACTATTATTATTTTTTTTTTTTTTTTTTTTTTTTTTTTTTTTTTTTTTTTTTTTTTTTTATTATTATCATTATTTATTAGTACTACTATTAATTATTAATTACTACTACTATTATTATTACTATAGTCATTACTACTATTTCTACTACTACTATCACACATTAATTACTAGAGCGATTATGTAAACAAAGTGTTCCAAATGAAATTTAAGCTTTAAAATTACGAAGGAAAAATACGCTAAATTCTTATTATTCATAAAATAAAATTGTTTGCTTGCAATAGTAATCACTTAGAGATAATAAATATTAAGGAAGAGTAGCAGGTGGGTTCATTCAATTAACCATTAATCGGTAACTTTTATCTTTTATGGGTAAAGATGTAATAAAGGAAACCTACTGTTTACTGCTATGGGAATCTTCTGACCTATACATGGAATAGATTACGTCACTGTCACTGTCACTGTCATTGTCACAGCATCCGTGTCATCTTGCTATATCTTCCATTTGCGGAACTTTTTGATCATATCACAATAATTAAATACTAAAAGGAAAAAAGGGAAAAAGAAAGCTGCATAATTATTTATATTTATTAACATTTCTATTCTTACTTTAAACATATATGTATAGTAATTAAATATCTTAAATACATATACCAATTAAATATATCTTATTATACTTATTTACTACTGCAGCATATATTTTATAAAAAAATGCTTAACTGAATTTTAAAAAAAAAAAAAAAAAATTTTTCTGAAAAAATAAGATTTTTCTATTTTTTAATTAAAAGTTATATATTTTCAATCCTTTTTTTTTTTTAATAATTAATGATTGCATAGAATAATAGAAACATATAAATGAATAACATTACATTATCCCTTAAAATAAAAGAAAGAAAATTTAGCAGAGAAGAGAATAATTTAGTTGAATGAATGGAAATTTCTGAAAAAAAAAAAAAAAGAATCTTTTTTTTTTAAATTTTGTTGGATTTTGTCGAATTATTTTATGTCTTTTGTAAAAGTAAGCAAAGAAAACGTTGTTGAATGGTGCAATGACTACTGCTATTGTTGGCGGTGATGGTATTATCGAGAACGGAACGGAAATTCTTAAACATATCCCGCTGTCTACCTTGTTTTTTTCATTTCTCTCTCTCTTTTCTTCTTTTCCCCTCTCTCTGTCCCTCTCTCTCTCTCTCGCTCTTCCGATATTTACATTTGAAAAAGTAGTGAAAGGAGATTTGGAACTGTGATAGATAGTAGAACAGTTCAGTTAAATAGGACGAAAGGTAGAGAATGAGAATTGAGGATTCTAAGAGGGAAGTATAACATACAATTGAATTCACTCGGAATATTTTCATTTTTGTTCATTTTATAGGCTATGTAAAGTTAGAAAGGCGCAGTTAGAAAGGCGCAATGTGTTAGTGTGAAAAGATAATGAGAAATTGAGAGGTGGGGGAAAAGGTGAGTGAGATGCGGAAGAGGGAAGAGGTAAAAGAGCGCCCATTCATTTTATCTTCTTGGTAAAAAGAGAGAAAAGGAAAAAGAAAGACTAAATCGTTATTGTTAATTAGAATAATTATTGTGATAGATTTAGACTAATTGTGATGATATGATATGATATGATATGAGATAAGAATGATAAATGGTTGGGAAAGAAAGTAAAAGATTAAATTTTGGTAGATAATAACGATGTTAATTCATAATTTCACAGATAGCTTTTTTTAAAAAAAAAAAAGAAAAAAAAATGTTAAAAGTAAAAGAGAAATGCAATAAAAATTTTCGTAATTTCAATTTTGCTAACTCTAATTTTTGTCCAATGATTACAATCTCATTAATTATCTTTAAATTTCATCTAAAATTGATTTTATTTAGTCTACAATATTTTATCATTTGATGATTTCATCATGTCTAATTTTATACTTTGACTTTCTTATCAACTAGAAAAATCTAATCATTGATAATAAAAATATCATTGGAATCATTTTATAACGAATTAATTATTTAAAGTAAACATCCTTAATTTTTTTCAGTAAACAAATGACAAAAAAAAAAAAAAAAAAAAAAAACAAAAACAAAAATAAAACAAAAAACAGACTTATGATAAAAGAGTTGATTTTCTACTTAGAATATTTGGATTTGACATTGCTTTCTCAGAAAATTAAATTTCATTCTTTTTCAGTTATCGTTGGCAAAGAGATTTTTTTTGCCTCTCAGTTTTTTTTTTTTTTTTTTTTTTTTTTTAATCCTTCAATTTTTGTCAATGAAATGAAAATTGATTCTTGCAAAATTAGTAATTTGATTGATGAAAAATTGTCACTTTAATATTCAACAAAAAAAAGAGAGAAAAAATGCTAGAAATGAAATTAAAATATTCTTAAAAATATACTTTTGTCTTTCTTTAGCTATCATTATAAACAAATATTTGTAAATTTCATATTTTTAATTTCATTTTTTTACAAATTAATAAACGAATTTTAATGTTGGAAAAATATTATAAGAAAAAGTAAGTTGGTTTTTTGAAGAGACAAAAAAAAAAAAACGAAAGAATGAAAGAAAATTATAAAGTCAAAACAGTTTAAATTAACTGTTTCAATTAAATTTGAATTTTTTCACGTTTTTTTTTTTTTTTTTTTCTATTTTTACCCATTTTTTTGAGTACAAAAGAAAAAAAAAAACTGTTTTTTTAAGTCTTAGAATTAATAGCACACTTTTAAATTATTACTTTTTTTTCCATCGTTTTCTTCATCAGTCTTTGTTGTCTTTTTTTTTGCGCTTTATTTTCTGCAAAAATTTCCTGATAAGATTGATCTGATAAGATTTCACTGCAATTTTAATCATTTAAAATTATGATCATTTCAATCGAACTCATCAGCTACTTTAATTGAAGTAGGATTATATCATTTATTTCAATTTTATCTTTTGATTCATCAAAAATTATAAACTTTTTCCCTCTTTCATCACTTCATTATGGAATTTATTTTGCTTTTTGTTTCTCTTACCTTAATTTTAAATCTGAATTTTAAGTCGTAAAACTGAAACTGAAATATTTAGAATTTGATGAGAGTTTTATTCATAATTTAGAAAATTTACTAAGTGAGAATTTTTTATTTTTGTAATAAAATTTTTGAAATGATTAAATAATATTAAATCAATAAGTCTTTTCAATTCTAATCCATCACAACCGAACTTTTCATTTTATCTTACTTAAAGACTTAGTTTTTTTTTTTTTTTTTTCCTTTTGTTTATGTAAATAATAAGTTCAATTTTGGAGTGTCACTTTTTCAGCGTATTTTAGCGTATCTAAGAGTGTATTAAATGATTGATCTTTTGATTGATCTGTCAATAATTGATTGGAAAAAAAAAATGAAAATTAAATTATCACTGACCATTATACTATCCCCTTATTTTACCCATTATTTGGTGTATTCTACCCAAATGTAAAACAAAATTTAACACAAAATTTAATTTATGCTAGTAGTGCACGATGAATTGATGAATGCATGCACATAATTAATTATTAATTTAGTATCTTTGTTCATTCTGCAATGCTAGTAGTTATTATCCATTTCTCTACGTGTATGTATGTGTGTGTGTATGTGTGTGTGTGTGTGTGTGAGCGTGTATAAGCATGTATGCACGTGTGTGTATATGCGTGTATGTATGTGTGTGTGTGTGTGTGTGTGTATAAGCATTAAGCATGTATACACGTGTGTGTGTGTGTGTGTGTGTGTGTGTGTGTGTGTGTGTGTGAGCGTGTATAAGCATGTATGCACGTGTGTGTATATGCGTGTATGTATGTGTGTGTGTGTGTGTGTATGTATGCAACATGAATGTCTGGAAATGAGAGTGAAAGTAGTAGTAAATTGAAGATTGGGCGGAAAGATGATATTGATAATCAGAGAAGCTCTACTAAAATTAAAATGCTTTGAAAAGGCGAAATATTTACAAAGTGTTCATTGCGTTCCGTTCGTTTATTCCATTCATTGCGTTCCGTTCGTTTATTCCATTCATTGCGTTCCGTTCGTTTATTCCATTCATTGCGTTCCGTTCGTTTATTCCATTCATTGCGTTCCGTTCGTTTATTCCATTCATTGCGTTCCGTTCGTTTATTTCCATTCATTGCGTTCCGTTCGTTTATTCCATTCATTGCGTTCCGTTCGTTTATTCCATCGGTTGTCCGGAAATGTTCATCCGATTTTTATGATAAAAGCAATTTACTATTTCTTTTACCTTTGTGTTTTTCTATCTTTGTGGTTAGTTTAACCAAAATTTTTTCCTTTTTTTTTAATTAATATTTTAACGATTGTAAAAATACATATTACATATCATTTTTAATGTTTGAATAAATTAAATTAGGAGAATTTTCAATTTTTTTTTTTTCCTTTATGATATAGTAATAGATTCAGAGAAATTTACAGCAATAATTGTAATAATAGAGAGAGTGGTGGAAGAGTGGAAAAGAGAATGAAAGAGATGAAAAGTACGAGAATTTCATTCCATTTTAATACTTTTAAATTTTTGCTCAAATAATTGTGACAGTTCGATTGACCGATTGATGATTATATTATTGATAGTAGTTAGTAATGATAGGAGTAGTTTCTTTGCTGTTTTTCATTTGAAAATAATCGCAGTAGAATAAGTTTTGAGGGATTTTTAATTCAATAAGACAGCATTGCTTGTCTTTCAAATTTTTTTTTTCTTTTTTTTTTTGAGAGAGAAAAGACGAAAGGATGAAAAAAATTGGTTTATATGTGTGATGGATACTTCTAATCTTTCACTTTTCCATTTCTCTAATTGCAACCACCGACAGAAATTGATATGCCTTTATGTTTATTAACAAACATACACACATACATATACAGACACATACATGCATATACACACACACACACGTACTTACGCAAGCATATACGTTCAACATATACGTAACAGACGTATATGATAGTCATACGCACCTACACATCCACAGACACGTTCACATTCTATACATGCACACCCAGACATACACATACAAAGATCTCTCCAATCTCTTTTCTTCAGTTTATTCTCTTTGTTCTCGATGATCTTTGATGGTTTCAACTTTTCAATTTGTCTTTCTTCCATGTCTTTGTTATGAGAAGAATTTCAGTCTTTTTTAATCGTTGTGAATAGAAAGTGAACTTATGAATGAAAAATTAAAACGTTATGCGATCGTTACATTTTCATCACTTACACAAAATCCGAAACAATATTACTAATTTTATGTGAAATTGATAAGTTAACGGGCGTATTTATCAATCAAATTCTCTGCGAATTATTAGAGAGAGAGAGAGAGAGGGGAAGAAATTTAGATGAATTATACAAATTTTTAGTCTTTTTTCTTTTTTTTTTCCATGCAATTATAAAACTGATTTGAGAGAAAACGAAACATTTATTTCATAGGTAATTTAAATGATTGTGAAAGTTACGACTACATTTCTCATCATTTTTATCATTTTTATTATAATAATTATTACTATAAACGTGACAATATCTGTTGTAGTTATTTTCATACGTGTTCAGGTCACGTCAAAAAATGTGTCAATGATCGTTAGGGATGATTATGCTAATATTTCGTTAGTATGAAATGTAATTTTGAATATAAGACTTTTGTAAAATCTCTTTTAATAGTTTTATAATGTATTTTTAGATTCATACAAAGATTGAATCACACTTTAAATCTTCTATACATCATTTCAGGAGCTTTTCGCTCATAACACAAACTTTAGTAATAATTAAAAAACTTTAACGAAACTTTTATAGGAATCTTTTCAATTTTCTCAGTAAGTACAGCAAGTGATACTTGTTAAAGTGATTATCATTAGTGCTTTACTGTGTAACATTAATATTAATGATTATAACGATGTCCTAGTTTTTACTGACATCGATGATAGTGATGATGATCGTACAGGAATAGTAGTTGTGTATTGATAATAGCAATAAATGACCAAATGATGGTGACATTTGAAGTGACAATAATGGATCAAGACAAGGTAGTGGCAATAATAGTAAGAGTATAGCTTTCACATCGAATAACGATGACGGCGATAACACTGCTAGACAGTGATGACGACAGCAATAGCAGCATTGATTGAGAATAAAAGTACGCGATAAAGTGATGCGATGACAATTGCGCCACAGAGAAAAGAGGGCAAGAGTACAATATAAATAGTATGTGTATATGTATGTATGTATGTGTGTGTATGTATGTGTGCATGTATGTATGTATGTATGTGTGTGTGCGTGTGTATATGTGTTGACGAGAATTATGAATGGTATCCATTATAATTAGCATTAGGAGTAAAAGCAGAAGCGGGAAAAGGAACTTGTCAAGTGGCATCATAAGGAAAGTTCAATCGATTGATTTAATACATTTGTCGTCACTCATCCGTTCCAATCTCACTTACTGTCATACTTATCACATATCATATCACATTATCACCTCTGACCTCTCTCTCCCTCTGTGCACGTCCACTCTGTATCCTTCCCAGTCTCTCCTGCTAACTTCAACATTTCTCATCGATACTATCTGATGAAATGATTGTCTGTTTCGTTTCCTTTTTTTTTTCTCTCTTTCTTCCTCTAATTTCCGTTCAACGGGCGCAATTTATCATTTTCTGGTCGAAGTAAAAAGGCGGAAATTTGAGACAGTTACAATGATTTATTGATTAGGGCATAAATAGACGAACAGCAAGACATATAGTACATAAGAAAGGAAGAGAAGAGAAGAAAGAGAGAGAGAGAGAGAGAGGGAGGACACTGTGGACTTCGATAATTTGATGTTTAATGAAAACAGCGCTTTCAGAAGTCAATCAATAATTGATATACTTCATTATTTGGTATTTTTATGACAATGAAACAATAAATTGTTCACTGGAAATTTCATTGTGTAAAAGATTTATGTCATATGAATTGCTATTTTGAAATCTTTCTGTCATCTTTGTGATAGATGAAAGAAAAATTGCCAATTCTTTTAGCATCACATTCAATAATAATAATAATCTCTCCCTGATGGTTAAGCATCGATGAAGTGTTATTCTCGGGTAGTTTCCCCGAGATAGTGATGATATTGAAAGCATTGCAAAGTGATTTCATTCTCTTTTAAACTAAAATCATAATATTCCTCATAAATGTTTATCGTTGTGTTCCTTTTGATTAAAGAGGAGAGAGAGAGAGAGAGAAAGTTCTATTGAAATAAAACAAGAGAAAGAGAGAAGTTTTGGAGGAAATACAGAAACAAAGGATGAAAAATTGAATGATATTAAGATGGAATGAAATAATGCTTGGTTAAAATGAGAGATATTTTCCTAAACTTTTTAGTGTAAAGGAAATGTGAGAGAAGGAAGGTTGGATAAATGAATGAATGAATGAATGAATGAATGAATGAGTGAATGAATGAATGAATGAATGAATGAATGAATGAATGAATGAGTGAATGAGTGAATGAACGAAGGAAGGAAGGAAGGAAGGTAGGAAGGAAGGAAAGAAGGAAGGAACGGATGGAGGAAGGTGGGAAGGTAGGAATGAAGGAAGGAACGGATGGAGGAAGGTAGGAAGGAAGGAAGGAAGGAAGGAAAGAAGGAAGGAACGGATGGAGGAAGGTAGGAAGGAAGGAAGGAAGGAAGGAAAGAAGGAAGGAACGGATGGAGGAAGGTAGGAAGGAAGGAAGGAAGGAAGGAAAGAAGGAAGGAACGGATGGAGGAAGGAAGGAAGGAAGGAAGTGAAGGAAGAAAGGAAAGGAAAGAAATGAACGGAGTAGCTAGAAAGGGTGGAGAATTTTGGCTGAGATGGCAAAAATGTATTAGTTTCGATAACAGAACCAAATGTATACCGCCACTGCCACCGCTATCGCTACCATTACCGCCATCCACTAGCGCCACCAATTCAACATTCCTTTTCACTCAATGCAATCGTCACCACTTTGCACTCTTTTTCTTTTCTTTCCTTCTTTTTGAAACAGTTCGTTCAATATATGCCCTTTTTTTAATCTTTTACCATTTACTTTCCTCTATCTTATCATTTTGTCACTTGTTAGCAATTAGATGCTTGATAGTGTATTGAAGAAGTTAGAGTTTATGATGATGATAATAATGATGATAAGTGATGATGATGATGATGATGATGATGACAGTGACGGTGACGATATTGTTGATGGCAATAACAATGAGAGGTCATTTTTAAATTGTTAGCATATCAGCATCCCAAAGAGAAAAAAAGGTCATTCTATGAACTGAACTGTATGCTATAAATTCTTCTTCTTCCTCTTCCTCTCTTCCCCTTCATTTCTTTTCCCTATCATTTTGATGAAAAGTTCCTTTTGTTTTCTTTTACTTGTCTCTCTATCACACACTACCAGCATTGTCTCTTCACTCGTACTTATTATCATTGTTATCAGTCTAAGATATCATCCTTTCATGTCGCTCTCTTATCATTTAATGGAATAAAATGAATGAAGTTAACTGTTTGTAAGTTAAAATATTGGAAATGAAAAACTACCGAATAATTGAATTACTCTCTCCAACTTGTTTATACGGTAATTCCTCAAAGTAATATATTATGGAGTATATGTATGTATATGTGTGTGTGTGTGTGTGTGTATGTGTGTATGTGTGTATGTATGTGTGTGTGTGTGTGTGTGTGTGTGTGTGTGTGTGTGTGTGTGTGTGTGTGTGTGTGTGTGTGTGTGTGTGTGTGTGTGTGTGTGTGTGTGTGTGTGTGTGTGGTGTGTGTGTGTGTGTGTGTGTGTGTGTGTGTGTGTGTGTGTGTGTGTGTGTGTGTGTGTGTGTGTGTGTGTGTGTGTGTGTGTGTGTGTGTGTGTGTGTGTATGTGTGTGTGTGTGTGTGTGTGTGTGTGTGTGTGTGTGTGTGTGTGTGTGTGTATATATATATATATATATATGATACATGGAAGTCTTTGGAAATGAGTTCATTCATTCCCTGACATTGTTTATCAGATTCAGGGGAGCAGGGAGTTGCAAGAGCAGTTCCAGTGGCTAAGAATAGGGGGAGAGAGAGGGAGAGAGTAGGGTTGGGTGATGATTGGGAAGATCTGATGGAATCTAGAGAATGTGAACTGTTTGGATGGAAGACGGAATTTCGTGATTTATTTTATTTTGTTTTGCTTTTTTTTTCTTCTTATTTGCTGAGATTCCGTTTTTTTGCTCTTTTTTTTTTTCATTTTTAATTTATTTCCCTAAAATAGAATTAAAAATTTAGTGATAACATTGGTTGTTCACTTCCTTATCTTTATCAGCTTGTTAAAACTCAGCTATATAGCTAAACATATGCTGATATTTTAGTATTGGTTAATTTAATCTAATGATATAGTTAATTGTTGAAACTTCATAGTTGAATATATTTAGCAATTAAACGGGTAGAAGAATGAACCGAGAAGTCTCGACTCATTCTTCGAGAACTTCCTAAAAATTAACCTTATGAAATTATTTCATACTATTCGATCAAAATTTTTGCAAAATGTTTGAAAATTATAAGCGCCTAAAAAACTGGCGGGAGGATTGTTTTCACCAAAAAGTAATAATATATTACAGCTTGACATTACTTAATTGTAATACAAATGTTATTTGCATCGAATAGGGAAAGAGAAAATAATGAATGGATAATAATATTAATAGTAATACTATGGCGTGAATAAATTCTACTTTCTCATTCTAACAAATGATAATATCGTACAATTGAGAGCAGAACGATGAAAATATTTTATCAAATTTTTATGATTAATGATATCAGTGAAAGGAAAGACTAAGTGAGTTGATAGAGTGATAATAGAAAGAATAAGAGCAGTAATATGTTGTAAAGCTTATGATAACATTCCAAGCTATCGCAATTTGTTCGCATTCTTGAAATTGTTTGACGTCGCCGTTTGCAAATGTCATTGTTGGCGCAAAATTAGTGAAAAGATAGTAGACCAAGAGGACATGTCATCAACGTATTGATGACATGTTATCATCATCTGTAGTTTTATCATGTAAGGAATGATAATGTTCATGATAGAAAATTATCAAACTAACTCGAATCAACTATTCATATTCATATATGTATATGTCATAGAGAAAGAGAATTGGCTAACAATAATTTGCTTTAGAAAATTTTTTGCATTGTCTTTTTTTCAGTTAAATTTTAGTTTTCAATCATCTTTCAAATATGCAAAAAATGAAGTATTAAAATTTCGAAAATGTCAATTTTTTTTTTTTAAATTGTCATCATTTAGGATAGATTTTTTTAAAGGATCTTATCATATAATTTTCACGTCTAACTTTTTCGAGTTGAAATTTTTGTTAGTGTATGTGAATAGATATGAATGAAATTTAATTCGTAAAATAGATTGGTTTTAACACTTTGATCACATCTAAAATCGAGATCAGGATTCGGTCTATTCATTTACCAAATTTTGTTTACAGTTGATTTTTCTTACAGCTGTAATAGTAGTTTTTGCTAAACATTAACAATTACAATTGATAAAGTTATCATTTTAGCAACTGATAATTCTCTTTACAAAAATTATAATAGTGTCTATCACTATTAATAACACATAATCAGTGACATATTATTATTCATGACTATTGTTATTTTAATCACTGCTACAGTTACGATGACTAATTACATTAATATATGCGTATACTTTTTGCATGCACATGAAATGCTTGCTGCAGCTGCATTCTCTTTAATCTCATGCATATATAAAACATAGAGGCATGCAGGCTTAATGACATCTGTTTTCTAAATCCAAAACTCCTTTCCATTGATTCCAATCGAAATCTCATTTCCCTATCCATCTATGCATTCAGCTACTTCAGTTATATCAATTGTTGTTTATTGCATTTGCTATGAATTTGTTTACCTTCTTCATTCTTATCAATACTTCAAATATAAATCGGATTAACTTTAACTTTTTTTCTTACATCACTACAAATCCATACAGTTTTTTAGGTTATTTCTTAATTTCTGAATTTAATTTCCTAAAATTTATGGTTTTTTATCCAATTCCTTTCTGATTTTGAATGAAAGAAAATATACAGATTCTTCACTAAATCATTTCGAATACGATCAGTGCAATATTATCATCAACAAATAAGTTCCACTCATTCATTCATTAACGTTTATCATAACTTCATGAATCACACCTCATCGTCCCATCATATCACAAACTTTGACAAACCCAAATGGCCATTATTGCTTCTTCTAACATGAGTAGGCTTTTCTATTCAAAAATTATGTCTACAAACAAGTAATGCAAACAGAAAGATATATATTTGTATAGATGAATTAGCATAGAGTATTGTCCACACATAAGCAAAAGGATGGAAGCGCAAATACGACAAATGCCCACTTTGTCACATCACTTCTCTTCCTCTTCCTTCTCCTTCTTCTTCTTCTTCTTCTTTGTAGTGTTGACAGTTCATTTTTTTTTTTAACTTTTTGTCCATTAGTTTTGTTGATTTTTTGACGATTTGACACTCTTCACTTCTGTATCTTTTTTTGGAGAGAGAGAGAGAGAGAGGGAGAGGGAAAGAAAGGAGGGAAGGAAGGAAGAAAAGTGTGTTTCATTTGTTTCGTAATATTTTGGGCATACAGAAGAACACTTTAATCTGTATGTTATCACCCTTTATGTACTCCATTCCATCCGAGAGAATATTAACTGGTTCTCTTTTATCTTCATCTCGTATATATCAAGTGGGAATCTGTTAATCCTTTGTCAATCTGTTAACAAAGGGCGTTATTGTCCTAAATGCTAAAGATATTGTATTGTAGTTGTTAGTAGTGAAGGGCGCTACTATCCTTATACTAGGAATATTGCATTGTAATGGCTAAACAGAAAAAACTGTTGTGAAAAGATTTGATGGGATGTATAAGTTGACAGTATCATATCATCCATCGCCTTTTTTTGATGAGACAATAAGGAGAGACGGAAATGTTTTCGATTTAGCGTTTATGGTAGTCCGGCAAGATTGCTAGCATTGTACATAAAACTATAAAATGCTTTTATCATTATTCGTGATTGATTTTTCATATCTTAATGGTATACATACATTCGTGATTTTCTGTATTGGAGGATAGTGAAGTTATAAATGAATTAAGGGTTATTGTTTATAATACTAAGGAGGGAAGTTAGAGGTGAAAAATGATACCAAATATTTACTTGACCGTACTGTTTTCGTACCATATCTGTAGTTCTTACGAAGATAACAGCCAAGGATAATGATAAGGATTATCAGTAAACAATAAATGTATGATGGAAGTGGACTTTGTATTTTATATTCTCATTTTACCTTTGAGTTATTTTTCATGGGATTGTTAAATATGTAATCAATTAAGCTTTAATGTTACTTGATCACTTGAAGAGAACAATTTAATCTTATTATTAGTTAAAGTTAATTAGCATAATTGAAATAATTTAAGTAATTAGACGATTTTTCGATAATTCATATTCATGTAATAGCAACAAATGTTTTCATTTCTTGTAATTATTCAGAATATTCATTGAGATTTATATCACTTTAAGTAGAGGGTTACTTCTCTCTCGCTCTCTCTGTTCCTCTCTCTCTCTCTCTCTTCTCCTTAATTGCTAGAAATGCTATCCAAAGCTGTAAAGAAAGGGAGAGATGGTAGGGAGAGGAAAGAAGAGAAGACATTTGAAATGGTGCGAGGATTTTAAGTTTGATTTGAAAGAAGGTATTGCTGGGAAATAGAGAGAGAGAGAGAGAGAGAGAGAGAATCGAAAGTAAATTTTATTGAGATACCTTGGGAACATTCATTTTCAATGAATTATTTAGAAAAAGATTGTTGAGTGAATGATAGATTAGTTAAATGAATAAAAGATGGAACGCTGGCGAAAATGGGAAAGGTAACCACTGCTTGGATTGGTTGGAAATGTTAGCTATAACGACTTTAGGGAATAATAGGTAGTGATAGGAGAAACCTGAGGAATCTTTTCAATTGATGAATACATTTCAATATGTAATTAACAAAAAAATCTGGCTCCTTTATTAATGAAAGATTAACCATCTCGAGAGATCTTGACATAATTGCAGTGTAATCTTTTAGAGGGATAAAAAACGATACGGCTGCATTTTATTTTTTATTTCTTCAACTGTTTTGCTTATGCTATTCTCATATAGCTTGTTTGTCGGTCAAAAAAAAAAAAAAAAAGAGAAAGAGTTGTTATTTAGCAAGTGATTCAGATTTTTAATTTTATTATTTTGGAGGCGAAAAAGAAGGAAGATGGAATGGATGTTATTTTATTACGGAAATACGTAAATCATAGGCGTAATAATGATTCTTGCAGTCTGTGTGCAGCATCCTGGGCAAGTTAAGAACAGGTACAACAACATCAACAATAACAGCAGCAGCAGCAATAGTAGTAGCAGTAGCAGTAATAGGAGCAATAGCGATAACAACAACAACAACAACGGGAAGCATTTGGAATAAGGACTACAAAGGCGTTATTGTCGTACATCTATTACGGATGCTTGCTGGTGTAGATATAATTGTTATTTAAATATCACTGTACACATTCTGTTATTACCAACAACAATAATAACAACTGTCGACACAGTAACCTTCGAATCTTCAAATACATTATATATGGGGTAAGTAATTATCGTAATATTTTAATTTAATACCTTTTATTATGTTCTATTAAAATAAAGTGATACTTTACAAAATATACTGATTTAAAATTAATTTGGACGATTATAATTATCATGATGACTCCATTTTTTTTTTGATTATGCAATGTTTTGTGGGCTTCAGATCGGCAGGAATATCATCAGCTGTACTTGGACATACACCTTCGCCATATCGGTCGAATGCTCACATCAATGTATACACGGGGCAAAATTTCACTCGACCTCAGCATTTTCATGGATCTTTTGTAAATTTTCAATCCTTTCGTGAACACTCTTATTAACTGGAACTTAGTTTCCTGTTTTAAACTCAAATTTTACAATTAAGCAGCTATTTTCGGTGGACAGTTTTAATTATTTTTACCACACTTTTATTAAGATTTTTTATATTGATTGCTTCAATTTTTGATACATTGAAAATAAAATCTCTGATTCATCATTACATTATCTATGCTGTGTGAATTAAATTTATGGAAAAAAAAAAGGCAATAGAAAAGGTCTTGACTTTAGCCTATTCAAAGGTGGAAGAAATGCAATTTCATAGAAAAGAATTTTTTTTTTATTAGGTTGTGGTTTTCTTTTTTTTTTTCATTACGCAAATGAAAATTTGTTGTGCTTTTCGTTATAGCAACAAAATATGTGCAATGGGTATGGAAGCACAAATGAAGGAACACAGTCACGCAATGGTCTAAGGAGTTCGGGTATAAGTACTCGTAGGAACAGCACTGGTTCACCAGTTCCATCATTAAGCTTGGTTAGTTAAGCGAACATTTAGTTTTTTTTTTCTTATACTCTAATACATTTGGAAAGAAATGTGATGGATATCGTTTGAAAAATTTTTGATAAGAAGTCTAAAAAGAAAAGAGACCTTTGTAAAAGGTTTCTTTCTTTCATCTTTGTAAAAGATGAAGTGAAAGAAAGAAAATTTGTTGTATTTGTTTTCGTTTAGACGAATGTTTACATTCGTGGACTTGAACAAAACACAACTGATGAGGATTTAAGAGATATGTGCGCAAAATTTGGTCGAATAGCATCAACAAAAGCAATTATGGTAACATTTTATAAATATAATCTTCAGTTATTTGTTTCCTCAAGACTTTATATTTCACTGACAATAGCTTATTTAAATTGTTGAAATTGGAAGATTGAAAATTGTGGGAGCTTTTATTAAAGGATAAGGCAACTGGTCAATGTAAACGTTATGGATTCGTTGATTTCGAAGAAGCAGCTGATGCACTGCGTGCCGTTGAAGGTTTGAATCAAGAAGGGAAGGTGCGAGCGCAAATGGCTAAGGTAATTATTAACTGCGGGCGAAATATTTTTAAATGTGTAATAGTAAGGGTATGTAACGTGAAGTTATAAATAAATATTTTCAGATGTAGTATATATGTATATATTTTAGATTTTTGTTTGAAAATTTTCGTACTGAAACTCGAATGATAATTGTCATTTGAGAAATTAATGCTGAAAAGTTTCAAGTTGTAACATAAAATTACATTTTCCTACCTCTCTATTGTTCTCCACTCCATTCTCAGGAGGAGACAAAAATTGGGGGAAGTTTTTTTAGGTGAAATGTGATGGTCAATTTTTTCCAGTTTTATCAAAAATTAAGGATGGTAGGTTATTATCCAGAGGAAAAGTAGGCAAAGAGATGGATGAAGCGAGAATTAGACGAGAGGGAAGAGTTGTAACATTCAATCTTTTTTTTTTTCTTTTTTTTTTTTTCATTTGTTGTAATTTACCAGTGTTTTAAAAAATCTTTACAGCAGCTATTTCGGGAGAATTTAATTTTTTTAACGTTGCTTTGAGGAACTTTAACGGGCGAATTTTCATTGCAGGCGCTGAGTCCAAACAACCAAAATAGCCTCTTTCAGCAACAGGAACAAGATCCGACAAATTTGTACTTGGCAAATTTGCCACCGAATTATACGGAAAGAGATTTGCAAAAGCTGCTGGAAAGTTATGGTTCAACAATCAGTACTAGGGTATTGAAGAATGGTGATGGCTCAAGCAGATGTGTCGGATTCGCTCGAATGGATAACGAGGAATTGTGCGCAAAAATTATTAAAGTAATTATTCAACAATTAAGCAGTCAATTGATTCAGTCACACTGAAATACTTCTAATGATAAAATGTTTCATTGTTACTTTACAGGAGATGAATGGGAAAAAAATAATTCCGGGTTGCAATTTACCATTGATGGTGAAATATGCAGATAGCAATAAGAAGACCAAAAGTCGACCTTTACAAAGTGTTCCAGGATTATATAGTAGTCTTACACATCTTGAGATTACAGTAAGTCTCAGTTCATTCCGTTTTGAAATCATGTTAGGAACACATTTAAAAATGTCATATTTTTTTGCAAAAAATTCACCTTTTAGCAACCATGTTTTGCAACACCACCGTATGATCAAAGTGGTCAATATATTCGTAGCAATCCGAATTATCAGTACCTGCTAACACCACCATCGCCTTATGTCTACAGTCCACATCCTCAGTATCATGTTTTCTCAGGTAGAAATTTGAAATTAATTTTTTTGATTTATATTATTTAGAAAATAATTTATGCTACATAATAATATACATCGCGAAACGTGCATTTGAGTGTCGAAAAAAATGAACTTGATGGTAGTACTCAATCAAGAATTACTTCATTCATATTTGCTAAGTAAGTTACAGGTTATGGCGATGCTCCTATGGGGAATCTTGCTGCTCAAATGCAAAATTTATCACTTCAAGGTGCTAATGCAATACTACATCCATCAGCTGAATTGACAAACATTGGACCGGGTACAAGTATGACAGCTAATCAGGCTCCTGCTGGTACGGCAATTCCTCAGGTTGCTATGCAAGCATATACAGTTCCTCTCTATCCATGGCCATATGGTGTCCAGGTAGTTTGTCCACATTTGCATAAGTTAGTATTATTACTTATAAAGGAAAGTTTTTGAAATCAAATTCCTTACCTATTAAAACGATCATAGACAATATCACTGCAACAGAATCCCTAGAAAAATAAGCATCAGGAAATTTTATGTTTGAAATCCACGAATGATTGATAAGATGCATTTTATTGTATTCGTTTAATAGTTTAGTAGGTAGTTAAGCAATAATAGATGCTCAGAATTGATTGCAAAAAAGAAAAAAATTTACACAATTCACTGGTTTATGGAATGTTAAATTTTTTTCATTTTCGGAAATTTATAGAAAAAAGATTTGTTTGTTTACAGGCAACGACAGATCCGAATATGATTGGTACCGTGGTGACATCTGCAACACCACTGCAAAATTTTGTTCCAGAATTAGCTGCTATGCATACAGATGCTGCAAATGTTGCTGCCGCTACTGCTGCTGCTGGTGCAGTACCAACAAACCAAACATCCGGTCAAGTTATTTACACCAGTCAACCACCACCGCCTCCACCACCTCCACCGCCACCCTCACAAGCACCAGCACCACAAATGCAACAGAACTGAGCGGAGAAAATGCCTTCAGGAATTTTTGTTTTTGCCGTATCTCAGACAAACTTGTAGTCATAACGAGTGGGAATTAAAGAGAAAAGCTCAAATGACGAAGAAAGGGAGAGAGAAAGATTAAGGAAGTGTTGGAACCTGAAAAGTGAGTGCCTGTTTTCTCTTTTTTGTTGGTTTTATTCGAAATTTCGTTGTTTATTTGCTTCCTCCCAATTTCGGATGCTTGTTAGCTTTTTTTTCTTTCTTTTTCCTTTTTTCTTTTTTTTTTTTTTTGTTCGTATGCGCTTTGTAAATTGTCCATTTATTTAAAAGATGAAGTTGCCTCATTGTTGTTGAGTCAGTTTTAATTAATTTTAGTAAATCTTACTGGGAAGGGTTATTATAATTTGCAAATTAGAAGAAATCGTTTGGCTAATAAATCGTATGCAACATTTAGGAAAGATGACGTCCTATGGACAATAAATATTTTCCTTAAGAAGGAATTTATCAAAACCTATTGTGATTTTTTTCTGGATTTACATGATTTCTAGAATTTCCAAAAAAGGAAGTTTCCTTTTTTGCCATAGCTTTTGCGGTGTAAATTTCAGATAGAAGGAAAACTGATTTACCAGTTAGTTATCTCCTTAATATGTTAAAGGACTGCAGAAAGATCACTTTAAATTGATAGTTATTTGTAAAATTGTACTTTACAATCCTTTAATTTATTTCGCCTCCTCCTGTTGTCCTTCCTTTCGCTTTCTTCCTGTAAATTCTGTATGCTTCTGACGGTTCTTTCGTTTAACTGATGTGGTGATTGCTAATTGTCGACTGTTCATTTTCGAATACGTTAGTTTTCAATTTGCAGTTGAAGAAATGTGAGTATAAAGAAACGTTCCAATGCAAGTGGTTGTTTTCTATTCTTGCATCCGAAGTCGAGAATCAGCAACTACTAATATCATCCCACTTTTTGTACACATTTTTTTAAAAATACTCTTCAGAAAAAGGGAACTGACTTTGGTTAATGTTATTGGGTGGCATTACAATATTTTTGCAAAAAAAAATCTGAAAAGAATTTATCTATTTGAAGTTTCTTTTCGATATAAATTGACAGTGTTGATTTGCGGAATTACACGAACTGAAGAATTTAAGGCTATGATTTAAATGGATGTGTAGGGTACTCAGATTTAATGATACCAAGGAGATATCAAATCATTTTAAAATAGCAATTTGAGTAACATTTGTGCTGTAATTAGACATAGCTGAATAGGGAATGGAATTTTTCTTCAGATAGAGTGCAATACTAAGAATGTTTTAACTGTTGGTGTACATATAATAATTATTGTCCTCTGAAATTTTATTGGATGGAGAAAAAGTGTTTACATGTATTTTCCTACGTAAAAATAATCTATGCAACAAATGTCTTATTGTTTATTGTTCATGTAACACATGGTGGTCAGTGATTATATGTTTGTGTACGTATGTGAGAAATGTTTCTTTAGTTTTTATTTCTTTGTTTCATCGTGATATATTTCTTCATTAACCTAGCAGAATTTCATCTGACAGTCTCGGTCATTATCATTTATTTTGATCTAAAACATTGCTTAATTTGCTAAACGAATAAATAGGCTGTTGGGACCATTATTAAGAAGGAAATAAAATATGTTTTTTGATGATACAGACGTTCTCGCTGGCGACAAATTTTTATTAGCAACTAAAGTTTAGCAGTTAAGCATTCCATGTAAGATAGTCAGTGCAGTGAAATAGCTATGTTGAAAATTTTTTGCACCATGATTTCTCGTACTTCTCCAGCCTCTTATCCAATGAGCATTAATGAACAGAATTAATCGAACGTGTGTTCAATAATGAGGCTTCATCGAATTCTCTCAAAGCAGTGCACCATGTCAGTCATCCAAACCCGATAATGTAGACGACGCTGTTCTTTAAGTTCTGCTACTCAGTCTATGTTTCTGTTTTTTTTTTTTTCTTTTTTTTTTTTTACCGAAAGATCTGATACAGTGACATTCACAATGCGAAACGAGCCTGTTTCCTTGTTTTTCACTAAATGCCAGATTACCTCACTGGAAACTTTCTCATCTTTACATAAACTAGTAGTGTTTTCTAAAAAGTAAGCCTCTTTCGTAACTTTTCCATTCCGATTAGGAACCTATGGTTTTCCGAATTTTTTTGTTACATTTGCCGTTGTGCAATTGTTGATTGCTACCCGACTCAAAATTTTGCTCTGACTCCACACTAGGGACGGGGTTATCAAAGTGTAATATGTTGTACCACAAATTAATTGTGATTTGTCCTACTGCTAGTTTGCTTGCTAATAACAGTAGGATTAATGGTGCTCGTGGATTTCGTTTTTTGAGCAGATGGCCTACTGTGACGTTGGATACATATCCGTTTTTTCATTTCATGTAAGCACCATTTCGGAAAATGAATGCACTTGTCTTCTGAGTCTTGGACCTTAAAAACATATCAGACATTACTGCTAGGGTTATAGAAGTGATGTCTGTGAATTCTGCATAACTTGTTTCAAATTATTTTACAGTATCTTTAAGATGTCTTGATGAAATGTTTCTTTTTTTTTTACTATTTTAAATTGCTCTTTTCATACGAGCAGTTACACTTCACGGAATGTGCAAGAAATATATTTTCTTCTGCTTTGTATGAGATTTGTTTTGTTCGACCCGAAATTATGTCTCCTATTTCGTGTAATGTTTCATTGCGTTGATGTCCTGTTTTTTCCGATTGTTTTTCAGTTGTTGGAAATTTCGGCAACAAGTGAAGTCTTTTTCTATTGTTCTGAATGTTCACCTTGATTCTGTAAATAAAATGAAAAATTGAAAAACCAACGGTCTATGACACGAAAACGGCATGTTAGCGTGACAGTTCAGAATAAAGCTAGTGAATCTGAAAGTAGTCTGAGTTGTAACAAAAGAGTAGCGTTTCCAAGCAGGTACATTGCATGCAGACTTCAGAATAAAACAGAATGAAGGGATTCAAATTCTCTACAAAGCAAGTAGTACTCTCGGGTAGGGATGTATGGGTAAACATATATAAACGATTTAAAGTTAGTGGAAATAAAATGATAAAGGCAATTAATAAGTCAAGTGGTACATCTGGCAATAGTATGATGCATGTTAGTAATCCTATGTAAAAAGCTTGCAACACATTAATTTATGAGTTCATCTTTTGACTGGTTTTTTGATAGTGAATCGAAATGCTCACATTGCCTGTGGTATCTCTGTTTAAAACACTCCATAAATATAAATACAAAAATCGTCAATCTATTGGGATATCAGAACTAAAGTTATCAGAACTAATCAAAATCACGACTCTTCCTATCAGTGCGATGTATCGCTGTTGTTAAAACTCCTTCTTTTGTTATGGAGAGTACACTTCCATCAATACCTGTAATTTTTTTTGACTTTGTAATAGTGTGAAACTCATTGGTTAAACAGATCGGTAAAACAATATACTTCATATTTCTGTAAATCAAATCAGGGGTATAAATTATCGACACCTTCCCTGTGTTACATAATGATATTATGGGAATATATTCCAAAATTATTTGTTCAATAATCACGATTGCATCATTTTAAATATTCAACTTTACTTCTATTACCAATTATACGAACTATTAAAATATCACAGCTAATGAGAAACTTTCAACCAATGCTGCTACTCCCAATGACTGGTGATACCTTATAGATTTTTTCACCTTGATAATTTTGACATTTATTAGAAGAAAAATGAACTAAAAACCTGCAAGCTCAATGACAATGGAAGACATAGGTAAATTCGGCTCCAAATTGCTAGCAAGTTTCAATAAATCAACCGCTGCATCACCTGGTGCATTACTCAATGTTCCACGGCTACATACATTTAAGCCTGATTCATCAGCACAGAGCACCCCCTTCACTTGTTCCTTTGACACCCTGAAAGCATAGCAGACATCAATGCTGTTCCATATCGAACAGTTTTTTCTTTATTTTATCTAAATTTTCTCTAACACTTGAAACTTCCTACAACCCGGTAAATTCTTTAATTAAAGCATTTCTTCCCTGCCTCCATCTGTTAATCTATTTAAATAAAACACAAAACTCCACTAAGTTGCTTCAGTCTTACTATTTAAATATATTTGAGATTTGTTAAATCGTTGAGCATCACATTTGAGCATCCACACAATTAGGAAAATTTTAGAAAAGATGATAAAAAAACAAGACATTTTGGCATAACTGAAATTTCCTTGGTTATATTATCGTAAGATCCTTCATTACTTATGTTCAAAGAAATCAATACCTGTACTTTCTTTATGGTCCAATTACTACTTTTACATTCTATTGTTTGGTTTGAAATAAACAAAAGTTAATATGCATGTTTACATACATTGATAAAGCAATAATACATAACAGAAATAACCAAATCTCACATTTCATCAGCCAATTTCTCCAGTTCCGATTCCATTTTAATGAAAAACTGAAATCAACGGTATACAATGCAATAAAGAGAAACACTAAGAGTAAAGAAACGAAACAGACGCAACGTACACGTAACGTATCATCCAGTCAAACGACACGTATAGATGATACTGTCTATATAAAAATTTGCAATTATCAGAATGTGCCAATCATACCTAAATATTCAATTGGAAAAGGAAAAAGTGAAATTATGTCGAGAAGCAAACATTCACCCATAATCTATGTAAATAAAAAAGTGACCGAGCCATTGTTGCTGGTATTTCGCAGAACATTTCTGATCTGAATTATGTATATTGCTGGGGGAGAGATGGAGGGATGTGCGAGAGAGTATATGAATTGATGGCAGAGATAAAAATGGCAGGAAGGAGAGTGTTACCTGCTTCTTTATTAGTATTATTATTTGCAATTAGAAAGACAAAAAGATAGTTAGTGGTAGAAGAGACGGGAGAAAACGACACAGTTGTTAATATGGTTAGAGAAGGAGGGGGTGAGATATTAACTGGTAGAGAATAAGTTGGAAAATGCCTGCTTGGGTTGGTCTGCGGGGATGTAGTAGGGTTAGAAGGTATCCTTTGGGTATTCTAGTTGGTGGCATAGAAGTATTTTAATCAGTGAATGTAATTTCCTTCCGCTTAAAATTTTAAATTCTTGAATTTTACTCTATTTTTCCTCTCTTATTTGACCGCTTTTGCATTCTATCAATTGCAGTACAAAGGCTTTGATTTAGACAAGAGTACTGGATAAAGGATAAAAGACTTGAATAAATGCAAAATTAATATAATTTTAATTATTTTCTTACAGTTTCAAAAATTTGCAGTTAACAATAACCATAATTAAACTATGTCCATGGAGACACATTATTTATTTCAAAATTGCAACGCCTCAAATGATCGGAATCGCGGTGGTGGATTACCCTTTTGGAGGGTTTTTATGGATTGTAGGAAAGATAGACCAACGATAGCTGATGGTATCAGTAATGAGTCGCAATGTACAACTTTTACTAATGGTTAGATTATTCTAATGTTTGTTATTTGTATTTTCCTTAAGAGAGTACTGTAAGGCACAGTCATGGCATTCAGCATAACTTTATGGAAATTTTAGTCCATATGTTATGCATGGATATTCTTTTAAGTGAATTTCATTTTATCATGATAGTATCGAGCAGACTTAGGATATATTTATGCAGTGTTAATTAATTTAGACGTAATTTTTCAAACAGATTATTTGGAAAATAATTTAACTGAACAGTTGGGTGTTGTTAAGTGAATTGAATAAGGTAGTATTTCTGATGTCATGAGTATTCATCCATCTACGAAAGATTGAGCAATAAAAGTTTCAAAACAAATTCTCAACAAGACCAAAACTTTAATGGTACCTACTTTTTCACTTTCATGTTAAACATACTTGTTATATATCATTGTCTTTATTGATTTATTGCCCATTATCATTCATCGTTAGATAAAACCGTATTTCTAGTAATCTTAAACCTAAACAAGATATGGGCTGAATTAATTCTTTTTATCCATTATTAAATGATTGTTTTTTGAAGATCTCAAAGATGTTGAACAAATATCTGAATGCACATCTGAAGCATCATGTGAGAGCAATGCTCAGATAGAAAATGACACAACTAAAAAACGACAGCCTATCGGTATTCTGTTTTTCTTTGTTTAGTCTATTAATCAGTTTAGGTCAACTTACATTTATGTTCTATCAAATTCCTGATTTCATGCTTGTTACGTGGACATTTTATAATTACATGTCTTCGTAATTATAAAGTTCGTAAATATACATTTATAATTTTATAATGAAAAGAACTTTTATTGCCCATTTTTAGAGATCAGCTCTTGTTATTCTGCTTTTAGGATAGAGATATTATGCAGTCAGCTTATCCAATAATTTTTTCCTCAGGTAGCTTTAATTTGGGTGCTGTATTCGCTGAAGCTGAAGCATCAGACAATCTATTAGAACGGAAGCAATTTAATTTAAAATTAGTCAAGGAATTTCGAATCAAAGATGGTACTACGGGTTTTGGTTATGATACAATCTTCAGTGATGGCATCGATGAGCGGTTGAAGTCGGTTATCGTTGATGAACCGTATTTGCGAAATAAATCACAGGTTTTGGTTATAGAAATGTTACTATTGGATAGCCAAAAAATTTATCAAAAATTTTTTCAAAAAATCAAAAATTTCAAAACTTTATTCAACATTTCAACTTTTTTTCTCCTCAGTTGTTTTGATTTGAACATTGTTTACAAGAATTTGAAATATTTGCTGCCTTTGCTTACAATTTAGTTTGTTTTTATTTTGAAATAGCTTTTCATCGTTCTAACTATATATACAAAAGTATCTTTTCAGTGACTTTAGATCACATGCTGTAGTGAATCGAATTGTGAGATTAGACTTGGTAGTTCTCATAACATAACATTTTTTTATTAAGCGGTAGTTTGGCTCTGTTATTAGAGAAAGATTATAAAATTTCCTCATTTTAGATTACAAACTTAGTTGCATTTTGCGAGTTGTTGGTATCAGGAGCACCTAATCTTCGTGAAATTGTGCTTTGTACGCAGGCAGAACAAACTGCTTTGCACGAGCTGTGGCTACAGTTGGGGCAGCTGAGGATTGATCTTATGTTACGAAATGTAGTTTTGAAAGTGAAATGTAGCGGTACCATGCATGATCGAGAAATTAGGTCGTACTTTTATGTGTGTTTTAGGCACAAAACCCAGTATTTCGAATTTTTTTCATTAATTGCAAAAGGGTTGTCTTATTTGTAAGTTATAACGGGACTATTTTGAAAAAGATATTTTTCAGTTAATGCATTTTTTCATGGTCCATTATGATTATTCCGTGGCATTTAGAATTTAGATCATGAAAGCTAGCCACTTTCGAATTTTCATGTTACCATCCGGAAGTAATCTCTGTTGAACTGAAATCACTTTTCCTTTCAGATTTGACAATGGTTGGACTTATCGCATTGGCCGAGGCTTAGATTACTTTCAAAAGCAGCAACCGTTAACTTTAGGCATAACCGATTTCAATTTAAGGAAGTGCCAGGAAACAAATGTATGTATATTAAGAGAAATGCGACGTAAAAATGCTATGTAAATTAATTAATTTAAAACGGCTTAATAATTTATATGATTTGTTGTGTCGCTGCTAAAAGCTATGCATAAAAATTAGGAATTTAAGACTCAAATTTGATTTCAGGTTAGCTTTTTATATTTTACTGGTGCTATTCACTTTACTGTCTTCAGAGTTCAAATTATATTAATTTTTCTAATTGTAAGTATCGATTTGTTTTCTCAATGCTTGCATCTTACAATACACTCATACTTTCATCATAATTGTGTAATATTTTATACTTTTTATTCTGTTGAGTAATATTTTAGTTGAATGAAGATTCTTGTACAATATTTTTAAATGTCACTGTGGATATAGCTATTTTCACGTATATGATATTTGCATATTTTAAACTTTTATTTCCTCGACTTTTTCATAAGCATCCATTGCAATGATTCATTGTTATCTGTTGTTATGCTATGTTACGGACCCTTTCTTTTAGTGCTTTTTCTAGATTTCCTAGAAGTTTTAAATTTTTTTTGGAATTTCATGTTCGATCTTTGAAAGGTTCAGTAATGTTCATTGCAAGTTTTGTTTATATGAACCTTGAGAATGTTCTTAATAAACCATAGAATTTTGCAAACGGAAATTTTGGCAGTAGAAAATTATCACAGTACTGTAATACACATAAGTGCAATAGGAATACTACCAGCTGTTGAAATAATTGAAATAGCGAAATATGGGATTCTGTAGGATGACAATTGAAGTTGGTGTTCGTATTTTATGACGCCAACTGTTTCAGTTACAGTTTATGAGTGTAGTAAGCAGTGATTATCTGATAATCATTCACTACTGGGAGAAATTGTACTTAAATAAATAATGTTACAGGTGACATTTTAAAAATTGTGATTTTCATCAGCTTAAATGTGATATTTAATTTTTATGAAAATCAAACATCATATGCTTGAAGTTTAAAAATTTAATAGCTGTGAAATTTAAGTTTAAATACATAATCACAGGTACTTGTGGATTAAAATTAGAACTGGTGTATTAATAAGAGATTTGAGATAATCAGTATGTCTGCAATTTAAAATTTTTGAATAAAAAGACAGCAAATACTATATCAATTGTTCCTAATATTGTTTAATTCTAACATTCTTGATTCCCTAAATTCTTAAATTAATTCAAGTACCACATGTCGTGAAAGAAAAAAAGTTTTAGCATAAATGTAATGGAGCAACTGGCCTGACATTTATTTGCCCAAAATTAACAAATGTGACAAAAAATATTTCTATGGATCGATCATGATAAATATGACAAATATATAATAAAATAGAGGTCCTCTCTTAAAATATATTTTTTGAATGAAAAATGAAATCATATAATGTTTGAGTTTAATCAGTGTTCAACTTAGCAGTTGTCTTCTACTGATTACATTCCTAATTAATCATCGAGTTCTGGATTATTCTGCCGTAATTATTTTAGCTACAGATGAAACAATTTAATAAATAAAATAATTTTAATTATCACATAAAATTTGAATACTTTAAAAGTTTAAGTTTTTTTTTTCAAATTTTTTTCGAAAAAAAAAAAGCAAAAAATTATTTTGGGCATATTAAAGAATTGTGCTGTCACATTTTGGATGCCAATAATGGTAGTTAGTTTTTCTTCCGGTATTTTCTGATTTGTAAAATTGACAAATGTACCACTTAAACATTATAAGCTTCTTCCTAATTTACAGCTATGACTTTTTTGATTTGAAATCTTAAATTCTTTTTAAAATTTTTCAATTTTTTTTAGTGTTTTGAAATATGTTACGTAATTTATTTCAAAAATTGAAAAAAAAAATTAAATGTGACTTCTTTTAAAATAATTTTGACTCGATGTAAACAGAATAATAAACTGATCAAAATAAATGATTAAAAGACTATCCAAAAGTTCATTCAAACACTATCCTTCAAATATCCTGCTTTTTTATTTTTTGAAAATTCTTAAATATAACTTTCATTATACCATCTATATTCAATTTTATCTTGTCCAAAAAGTCAAACTTTACATGATATGATATAAGCTTATATTACCTGATTTGCATAAATGATCTATCATTAAAAAGCATTTTGTGGCAATAACCTGAATATATTCCAGGTCTATTTTATTAATGATATAAACCTGTTAATGATTTAAATGAAACTGACAATAAACTGATCAAAAAATTATTAATTTTTTTTTTTTTTTTTTTTTACATTTAGATTACTAATTCATTCTGTAAAAAGCAAATCCTACTTCTCTGTATTGATATTTGTCGCATATTAATCATAACTGAAACATTAACAGATTTATCCACCAGTTAAATATGTAGTTTTTCTATCAGTCATTGACTAATCACTTCGATTTATCTTGTTTAATTTCATTTAATAATCATTTGCAATCTATGAAGATAATATGGTGGAATTACCTCTTCATCATGCTTTCCCGAATTTCGTTTTCGGTTTAATTCGCATTTCGGTTATTCCCATTTCTTTGTTCGTATACGCTTAATCATGTACCACATTGATTACGCTGATCACATTCATCACAATGATAGCTTTCATCTTTAACTGTAAAAAAAAAAAGAACACACAAAATGCTTAACTCATTTCAACGCCATTTATTGATTTATTGTTCTACATCATTTTATATTTTCTGATACAATAATTCTTATTTTGTTTAATATCACTTCATTCATAAAATACAGATTATAAAGATGATCAATTTATTCATTCTTTTCTTTCAACAGTAAAATCTCTCTCTCTCTCTCTCTCTCTCTCTCTCTCTCTCTGTTCTACCTTTTATTTAATACCGTAGAACACAATTCGCGGAATATCAGTATTTTTCCAGTGATACTTTGGATCAATGTGTTATTTTCTTATGATAGCACGTTCCTTTTTCGTCTTCAAATGATTATTTTCAAACGGTTACCCTTTTCTTAGATGATAAAATCAATTTCTCGTGCTGATAGAAGAGTTGATTACTTCATGGAAATTTGAAAAAATTGAATGCTTACCTGAATTGTTCCTTCAGCTACATCTCTTCTTTATTCATTGTATTCGAAATGTAAATTTTAAAATTGATCTTATTTTCCAACTTATATTTAAAGTTCTTGAGCTATCGAATAAATCAGTAAATTCTCTATAGCTGATTAATAAATCTGTTACTATAGAGAATGGAAGAATTGGCTTAGAAATAAGTTGAAAAAAAAGGGAAAAGATGATGTAGAATGTCGAAAGGAAATTTAATATGCAAACAAAATGAAGTAATATTGATGTAACGAATGAAAGAAAAAATAGATATGAAGTGAAGATTCAGGTTGGAAATAGATATGAAGTGAAGATTCAGGTTGGAAATAGATATGAAGTGAAGATTCAGGTTGGAAATAGATATGAAGTGAAGATTCAGGTTGGAAATAGATATGAAGTGAAGATTCAGGTTGGAAATAGATATGAAGTGAAGATTCAGGTTGGAAATAGATATGAAGTGAAGATTCAGGTTGGAAATAGATATGAAGTGAAGATTCAGGTTGGAAATAGATATGAAGTGAAGATTCAGGTTGGAAATAGATATGAAGTGAAGATTCAGGTTGGAAAATGGCTTTGATTGAATAAGTTCAAAAATACCAACAAATCTGAGATATTTTTATCCTCTTCATCGGTAAATAATCATCTGCAACATTTTGTTTAGAACTGCACAAGCGAAGCATTTTGTTGTTTTGATAATTTGATTTCTAATGAAATAAATATGACAAATGAATTTATGCAAATTAGTCTCTTTAAATATTTCATATTTGTTTTTTTCAGATTTTGAGAAGAAAAAGGTTGCATACGTTTAGTCATTTGCAGTCTAAACTTACAATCATTTATAAACCCATAAATCAGCATAGGTCCGTCGTTGTCTAAATGATATGAAATTATTTTTCTGGAATTGACAGGAAGAAAGAATTCAGGTTTTCTGCAAATCCACAGTCGTTTCAATGATACAAAATATTCTACATACTGTATTATTTATTCTCGCACAATTCTTGCATAACAACGATATAACACGCAAACAAGTATTATCTCATTCAAAATTTGCATGTATAGTCTTAGCGGGGCGGTCTTGTCAGGTTGAGGAGTGGAAGAGAGACGTGACAATTGCTAGGTCTCGTCCTTATACACACTCCATAGGAGCGCATTTGTCATGCACCACTAGAAGAGTCAGTTTTGTGCAAGAGGGCAAATTGATCGATCCCTCTGTTGACTTACTTGCGTGCAGCACAAGAGAAAGAGTTACTGTGGTGCGGTCAAAAAGGAGAAAAAAGAGAAATCAAAAAGATGAAGAAATAACAATTCTCATGGATCTAATATACTTAGCTAACTTTTCAAATATTTTCACTCCCTCGGAATTTGGAACAGTACAAAAACCGTAGAAATTATCATTTAAAGCATTTCAATGATTTTAAATATCTAAGCAATCCTAAGCGTAAATGAATTTCTTCAGGAAAAATTTTCAAAACGGATTTCAAATTCTTACTTATTGCAGGTACTTTTATTAGCGTTAATTTAGACTACTCTGTAGAGATTGCTTTGACAGTTTACTCTTCCAAAAAGGTACGACAACTGAACTAAAAAGTATTTAATTAATATGACTAAATTAATTGTTTGTCTTATATTTAAAATCATTGAAACGCTTTAAATGATAACTTCTACGGTTTTTGTACTGTATCATTAAATTTCCAAATTCCGTGGGAGTGAAAATATTTGAAAAGTTAGCTGAGTATATTAGATCCATGAGAATTGTTACAGTTTGGCTTAGTTCACTTAAAAGTCATATGCAAGAAACCATATTGTTTTTTCCTTAGCAAAGAATTAATTAGGGTGGATAAAAAAGGAATGTGATTGCACCATTTGCTCATTATTCTTTTTTGTTGACTTTCCATCATACTAGATTAAGCTTCAAGACTTTCAAGTTAAACTTTTTTTTTCGAAAAAGCAACAACAGTGGTTTTGTTTACTCATCAGTCTTTAAGGAAG